TATCCTCATATCCTTCCAGCTGATTATTTCCCGCCTTCTCTCTACACCCACTTTGATGCCTTTGCTATCTGCATGACAGCACTGAAGACTCACAGGCACTGTGCTGGCTGGCACCAGAACCAGCAGGCAGGGGACTGCTGCCTGCACTGTGAATCACCAGAAGGCTCTGGAGCTTTAAATGGGAAGCAGAACACGCTGCTGTCTAGATAGACAAATGAAACTTCAACCAGCTCTCTAGCTTAGGAAACAAGCTCTGAATCACTCTGAGGGCAAGGTGCCAGGAGTGGCTCCGCTCTAATCCTGGCTCCACTGTTTGCTCGCTGTGTGGCCTTCAGAAAAGCTCCTAGGAGTAAACACTGCTCCTTCCTCCTCCTTCCTGCCAGCATCCCCTCTGTTCCCGCATCCTCATGCCCCGGCTCAGAGCAGTACCCCACTGCTGGCCATGCACTTAGGGGTGGAGGAGGGAAATGCTCCCCTCAGTCTGTCACAGCACGCTCAACAGCCAAACAGGGTTCTTCTGCTTTCTGTTTCTCTCCCTTTTCCTGGGCCTCCCATGGACAGTGCTTCGGGTGAGCAAAATCACCAGAGGTGCTGAGTGTGGAGGCTGGCTACTGCCAAATGGGGTTGAACTTAACATCTCCTGGGCTCAGACATGAAGGTCCTGGTGCTGCATTCATAAAAGCCCAGCGTCCTAGATAAACAGAGCGCATCGATATTTATTTTAAGAAGCTTGGAATCAAGAATTAATACTGGAGAAAGGGCTATTCTTACGCTGTGTTAAAAGAACTTGTTCTAATACAATATTTCCTAACTTCAGACATGGTAGCCTAGTAAGCTCCATTACCACGGTAATACTATATAAAAATGATCCTTTATTATAAATCATACCATACACCAAAAAGGATATAAATAGAGCCCCAATGCGGCATTGGCATGCCTCATATTTCTCTTGGTTCACATTAAATGAGCCACTAAATTACAGTGTCCTTCTTTGTAATATCATCCTCCAAAGCCAAGCATTTTGTGCATTACGCAGGGCTGTTCTAACAAGAGAAATTAGTATGGCTGGTTTAATTCAGCCAGGCTTGCCATGCGTGTTATAGGAGAGGGTGCTAAAACAGGCCAAAATGAGCAATTTCATTGTCCTTTCAAAAACCCCTCACTCGGAACGTGCAGTAAGAGCAGGAGCACGCTCAGGGCTGACAGACAGATCGCTCCTGAGGGGTTGGGGCCTGGCACCCCAAGCCCCAGCAGCAAAGAAGTGAGGGCAGAGGCAAGGATTTGGGTTGCAGCTTTCCCTGGGTCTCACCTACTGAAACGGGGAGAGATTTGCCCCACAGGATCAGTGCCTGTTCATAAAGCAGCCCAAGCTTCTCTGCGATGGACAGTGCTACAAAAATGCAAACACAGATTTTCTGTACGGCAAAACGTAAATACAGCACTCATACCGGGGGATCAAGCCTGAGACCTGTCTCTATCAGAGCTATCTAACCGCACTAGAGAAGAAAACCTTTCCACAGTCCTAGTAGCTGTACATGCCTTCAGGGACACTTAAAGTAATTCAGGTCAAAAATGTAGGTTGTTTTATTTAGCAGACAAAGCGGTGGGGAAAGGAAGGAGAGGGAAGGAGGAAACAGGCTGTTGCAAAAATACACTCTTCACAAAGGGCTTTTCAGGATTTCCCCCCAGATTTAGGCGATGTTTCCCTGCAGGCTCACAAGGCCCAAGCTCTGCTGTAGGGGCTGGGCTGCTGCCGCAGGGCCGGGCCACACTTAGGCAGCCATTTTAGAGCGGTTCCCTCGGAGAGGCTACCTCTCCTCCTGGCTGCAGCCCAGAGCGCACAGCGGGCTGGGGGGAGCAGGCCCAGCACAAAACCACCCAAGCATGGTCTTTCTGCAGAGTATACAGAGCTGGAGCAGTTCCAGGAGATTTCATAGCAAATTGTCTGCCACAAGGAGATGCATTCCCTTATGCATGTGGAGAGACTGCAGGCTCTGTTTCCTGTGAGCAGGGCTTGCAAAGCAAACCACACCATGAACCATCAACTAAAGGTTTCTATTACCTACAGCATGCTCCATGATGGTGTGAGATACTGTGAAAATGGCAAGCAGCCTTGTGGAAGTGAAATACAACCTCTACAGTGCAACTCTTGGCACCGTACCCCCTCAGAAAAATCCTCAAGCAAATGAGAGTTGTGCAAGCTATGAAACACCCAGCTGAGTTGAGAAAGTGTTGACCCTTTGGCAGGGGGAGCAGAGCTCGCTAGCAGGGAGGCACACAGGAGGCCACAGGCTCCCCCTCTCTGCCTACACTGAGGCTGACAAGGAGCTATGGAAGATCAGCAGAGAAGGGACAAAGTGAGAGGACAGCCTCTGCAAGGGAGAAGATACCTTGCTTGTGTTTCTCCTTCCTTGCAGTCCCAAAGCTGCTTGGCACCATCCCACTACCCTTGAAAATTCCTGAACTTGAGAACATCTCACGCATCTGTCATGCTTCTTCCTTCACTTGGCCCCCATGCTCATACAGTTCCATGCCATCAGAGAGCCACTAATTTTGAGGCACGGATTGATTGACTGACTGACTGATCTTGCACAAGACATACACCAGCAAGTACTCCTGAACTTGTAACCAGTTCAAACAGGGAATTCTGAAACCTGACATATTTAGTGATTCCCTGAGCAGAGCAGGCCATGACCTGCCTGGTGTGGACTGGAAAGCCAGCTTCCATAGAGACTGGAGAATATCAGCTAGCCCATGACAGTGATGAAGAGCCACAAAGGGAAAATGGGTGGTGTTTGGATCTTGTAATTCAATACAAGACCAACTCTGTCATTTAAGAAACATTTACTAAAAAAGAAAAGAAAAGAAAAAAGAAGAAAGGAGGATGACATTCCATTTGTCACAAGAAGACAGTGATGTACTTCAGGATCCCTGGTCAGAGATTAAAATAAAGGACACTACTAGTTAAGGTGGGGGTGTGCTAGCATCTTTTACCAGCCTGATTTTCATCTGTTTTTTAAAATCTGCATGCAAAAATGGGAAGCTAGCTACAGCACTGGTAAAGGCAGTCTGGTCTCAGCATGGAGTTCTGGGTCAGATTTGAAGTAAATCAAATTTAACGCCTTAAAAATAGCAGTATTCACTAAAGCCCAAGAAGTGTCAGTGATTTTTTTTTTCTTTGCAACCAGAAAGACAAACAGAAGAGAGAAGGAACAGGAGACAGATTAAAACAGCTTTAATTTTAGGACTCTTCTCATCAAGATGCAATATGTGACACCAAAAATTAGTCCAATTAAAGATGTTTATAACCTAAAGTTGCTTAATTAGCACCTCTAGAAGTTTCCCAACGTTTTCCCCACCAACTTCCCCACTCCTGATGAGCGCAGTCTGAGCTGCCACAGAGGAGGAGAAAGGTGGCAGGGCTTGGTTAGAGGTGTTCTGGTTGTACTCTCTGGCTGTATCTGGATCTCAGTCTGATGGGAATCTACCATCTTCCTAGCAAACCTCTATTGATTGAGGGGCTTAAGGTGCTTCCAGAATGAAACAGTGGCTGAACAAAGGAAGCAAAGCTAACAGGGAGAATGCAGTGGGTTTTTGCTGCTGGCACCTTTCTGTAGGTGCAACCCCCCATCCCATGGGGCTGCAGCAAGTGGGCCCCCACTGCACATGCACTAGCTAGAGGACTGCCCACACACAGCCCCCACAAGCAATGAGACAAGAATGAGATCCAACATGCTTTGTCACTCCAGGCTAAGCGGCACTTCCAAGCAGCCAGGGGCTTTCCCCTGGCCCTGCTACTGACCTGGCTTTCTCCTTTATGCAGTTTTTCACAAGCATCATGGCACTGCTCACAAGGTGAGTATTGCTGCAGGCTGTTCAACCTGCAGGCAGCACCCATGTCATCTTGGTCCTGGGTTTCCCCCATGTACAGATAGATGAAGAAGACACAAAAGCACTCTTTACCACTCTCCCCCTCCCACCTATTTTACAGCACTTACAATTTTACAGACTTAGATACGGCTCATTGGGACTGTGTATACTGCTTCGTGAAACTCAAACCCAAAATGATGCCTTCCTCAGCAGCTACCTGTGCCAGCACGAGATGCTCGATTTACACCGGCTGGGGATTGCCAGAGGAGGAGCCCTGCTGAGATCGGTTCCCAGGCTCTGTGCTTCTGTTGCCATGGGAATATATTCATTGCTTTCAGAGTAGTTTGGGGAGTACAGAATTCGGGAAAAACAACACAAAGAACAACACTCTGATCTTCCAATGACACCAGTTTTAAAGATGTAGAATGAGAATACCTCATCTTCCTGATGGAATGTCCATCTAAAATAGGATGAAGAGTTTGTAAAAAAAAAAATTAAATGGAATGGCCCTGCTAGATCAAATGAAAGGCTCGCTTATCACTCTCTTTCTAATATCTTTTGTCTTATATGGATTGCTTCATGCACATGGGATTTCTGAGTTGTGTTCTGAAGTCTTAAAAGTCATAAATAATGATCTACTCATTCATTACCTCTCTGTTTACAGGCTATGCTATATCTACACAAGTTATGGTGCCAGACCATTAGACATCAAAGGCTCCACAGCGCAGGCATCCTACAAAGGAGAAGTCAGCACGATTTTTCCAGGAGCTCACTTCACTATTCCAACAATAATAATGACTTGTACTTGGTGCCTTTGATCCAGATTGCCAAAGCACTTTGTTCTCTGATTGAGAAATTACACATAAAATAGGATTCAATTTGCCCATCATTGGCACAGGCTGGGAGAGTCAGCCTCTAATAATATTTAGCAGCATAAAAAAACCCAACAGTTTATCTACATTAAATCAAAGAGATAATGTAAAGTTCAGGGAATCAAATGTATGATCACCTAATAGTAGCTAATGGTGCTAACAACCATTGGTGAAAAGTGATGTAAGATCTTAAATAACGCTGAGTGTCCAGGACATCACAGGGAGTCAAAAGAAGTGGCAGAGAGCATCAGTACTCACCTTGGAAAAGCATGCATTCACCTGAGCATGGATCATCCCCGTTTGATACGCAGTGACCTCCAGCATAGTTCCACCAGGGACATGCCAGTAGGACAGTGCCAGAGAGACTTTGGCCCTGGTGGCTGGAAGTCCTCTGAGTTGCCTCTACAAGCAGGAGACAAGGGAATGTAGAAGAAAGAATTAAAACTAAGCTGACGAGGAGGAACCAAAGATCAATAAAACAAAATGGATCTAAATAAAGTAATTACAGCACAATAAATAGGACTGCAGATCTTTTTGATTACTGCTGAGCCTTCAGATCTCCTGGAAGTTCACATCTCACCTTGGAAATCACAGCTGTGGCGATACTGATTGAAGAGAATGAAAGGTTACAGTGGCTTCTGACAACCAAGCCCAGGACTGTCATGTAACCTCACAGCTTTATATTTCCTCTGCATTAATCCTCACCAGTTAGTAACTAATTAGCATAAACCGGACTCAGGGCAAGGATATTAAATAAGAAAACTTGAGAGAAAAGAAATGAGTTGGTTCTCAGTGGAGAGGCAGCCTCACGTCCTCAAGAAGTCACAGGGCAGAGACTAAAGACTTTGGCCTTCCTGATAATCACATTACGACAAAGACAGTTCCTTTGGAGGGCCCCTTTGAAATATGAATTAACTTAATCTTTATGATCTTGACAAATAAGCGATAGTAGAGTGTTTTGACTGTGACACAGACATAGAGGGTAGAGGCTACATCTACGTCAGCAAATAGAGAAGCATAAGAGCAACACTGGTCAGCTTGCAGTAAGTTTTACTTGCAGATGGCTCCCGCTCAGAGCCACAGCCTGAGCATCCACCACTAGTTGGAGAACCTTCGGTTCTTGTGGGGATCTTCTCTGCCAGCACAGTGCCCCCAAGGGGAGACCAGTTTGCCACACCCTGCGCCTCATCAAACTGCAATTATCTGGCGCAACCAGGACAGCTGTTTTTCTCATCCAAATGAAAATGCTAGTGAGAGGCACCTTATCTGTACAGGCCCCCATCCCTTTCACAGCAGCTGATAACTAAACCTGCTCTGCCTTCCCAGCCCCAGCTTCACTCCCCTCCCTCCCTTAAACCATGCTCATGCACTGGCTGTTTGCAAGGTTTAATGGGCAACGAAGGAGCAGAGCAGCAGTTTCTAGGATTTGCACAGGAGAGCAAATATCCAAAGACAGAATAACTGTGGCAAGTGAAGCAAAGTCTACCTCAGCTGTACCTTACTGAGGATGTGGTCACTGGTTCTAGACCAATGCAAACCTCCACAGCACACACAGACCAAGCAAGAACTGTGCCCTGTAACAGCAGGGTTTTCCTCAAGTATTTGGCCTTAAGCCTCTGTAAATAACATCATTGCAAACAGCAGCTATACTTTGGGTATAAACTAATCAAGCTGCACTGAAAAAAACATTTTGCTGCGAGATTTGAGAGATCACCAGTCTGCAGGCCGAAAGGTAGCTCCTATTTCACTGTATGCTGTTGTTCTCTTCTGGAAGTGATAACTTCAAGATGAGACAAATATTACTGTCAATCCTTTTGACTTTCACTTCTGATGATCTTAGCATTCAGTCAATGTACTTATCCCACAAATCCACACCACCTCCCAAAGAGCCAAGAGTGCTTGCTGTGCCCTTCCCAGCTGCCAAAACTCCCCAGCTGCCTCCCAATTACTCCTGTAATGTGATTCTGTGTCCAACACACAGTCCTGCAGCACACTAAAAAACGTAAGGACATAACATAAAGAACTATCAAATTAAGGAGCACAAGGGGTGCTGAAGCAACTACATTGCTAATTTTCCTGTTTACACTGATTCACTGATTACAGCTATTTTTGATCCCAAACTGCTATACAATAAAATGCTACGCTTGAAAACAGCTGAATGTCAGAAATTCATTGTTTAAGGTCAGCAGAGACCGTTACAATCCTCAAGTGTAACCTATTGCTTAAGGGATTCAGGGAACCTTGCCAGTCATTTCTGAAACAGACCCAGGACTTCCCTATGAGCTGCCATGCATCTGTTAGAAAGCCACCTCTTCTTGGCTGCAAGACTGAAAGGTCTGGAGGGTGCTAGAAAAGCCATTTCTCTGGTTAGCTATTCTCCTACAAGAGGTGCAACTTTTTCTGGTCTGCACATCTTTCTGTACTTCTAGCCACTGAATTGCTCAATGTGTTTTTCTCTGAATTGAAGTCCCCAGTTAGAAATCTCTTTCCTGCCACAGCTCTTCTTTGCTGATATCAAGCAACCTTATAATTTCTAAATTACATAAAATACATCAGTCCACTCAAATCTCTCAGCATAGGAAGGGCTTTGCAGACTTCCCACAGTCTTGTATTTCCCCTGTGAATGCTTTTGTTTAGCCCAGCTTTCCTTGGAAATTGGGCATCTGCGCATAAAGCCCAGCTCTTCCTCAAAGATCATCAGACTACCAGAATAGAAAGTCAGCATCCTCAATGCAGGATTGCCTTTGATAACGGTGTGCTCTTAATATAAACAGAGGAGACAATGCTTTAATTACTTTGTCCTAGCACTTCATTCAGGTTGACCAGGGTAGCTGGGCAAATGGAGAAAGCCACCTGGAAGGGAGATGAAAGAAGGCAGTGCATATGTGTGGGTAGCAGCTCATGTTGCCTCCAGCTGTTACAAATGGGCACAGGATGAGCCTTGCGCTCTTTCCTTCTTTTCTTTCTATCAGCACACAAATGTGCCTGCCTGGTTGGAAGACTCTCCTGCCAGTTGCTCAGAATATTTCTCTCTTCCACTTGACTGCACAAAGGCAGGCCATCACCATGCAGCTGCTGAAACATCCTGTAACGTTGCAGAAGCAGGGTCTTCTACGCCTATTTGTGGCAAATCCAGCTCTGGTGCCATACACGGTATTGAGGGGTAATGGCAAGAAGATGCTAATTAACAGAAGAATAAAAAGCCAAAGCACACTCTGGAGGCTGAATGTCCGACTGGCTAGGCGACAAGGAGAAAGGTTTCTGGCTGCCAGACCTGTTCCACCCATCCCTACTTGTAATGCTGACTGATCTCCACCTGTCTTTTATTGAACCCAAAATTGCAGAAGGACCTCATGGTTAAAATGGGAAATTTGAGTTTCTTCTCTCTAAGTTCCACAGCCCAACATGAAACATCAGGTATGGTATTGCTGACTCAGCCTTTCTGGGTTGCACTTATTCTGCAATGGGACTATTATCATCAGAACAGGCTGAGAGATTCTGTTTTCATAGCTTTTTAACCTTTTCCTTCCCAAAACAGTGTTTTTCTTTATTTTGGCCCCGTGAGTGTTTTGAAGAGAGGATTGATATGGATTTGTTAAAGCATTTTTCTCCCATAATCCCATTAAGTCAGTCTCTAATTCTTTCCAGGGGTCCCTTCTGAAGAGCTATTTCCTCTTGGATTCATTTACTTTCTGTGGATTGGGGGAATTAATGAGGCAGATTCCACTCTCATTTTCATCACTGTAAGCCCAAAACAACTTTAGCAGTTTTCTGGAACAGATTCACATTTTACTGGTGTAAATGAGGTCAGAATTTGGCTTGTGGCGCTCAATTCTGCTAAGAGACAAAGAGAAAACAAGAAGTATACACAGGTTGGGAAAGTCTATTTGGAAATGGGTGAAGCCCGCAATTTCATTGAAAGTCTTGTTTTCTACACTTTCCCATTAAGAGGATTTGCTGAGCACCATGGATATTACCACGTAACCCAGCACACTGGTAAGAGAGATCTCAGGGAAACAAGTTCCAGGACAAATGCTTTCAAGAGTGCTGAGATTTTCTGCAGAAAAAAAACAACAACACAGTGGCAAAAACATGAAGTCGTGCCAGTGCAAAGGAAGGTTAAGAAACAGTGCAAGGTCAGCTTGCCAAGTCATTAAATCTGCAGTGGCCTCACAGACAAGGAGGAAGCCAACAGAAAACTGAGATGTGCAAATGACTAAGGATGGGCACAAATGTTTAGCACATACAAGTAGGGATAAAGTTGAGAAAGGCGTGCAAAGGATGCATAACTAGAACAGAAAAGGAAGATGAGCAGAATATTCCAGCTCTAAAGCAGTAGTCAAAGGAGGGGTAAGGAAAGTATTGCTTTGGCATCACTGTAGAGGAGCTCTGAGAAGGGGCTGGCCTAGGAGGGGCCGTCGTGAGCCACAGGGCTCCTTACAGAGCAGCTCCCTGTCTGGCTGCAGAAAGGGGAAATGAGGAGCAAGGCAGTTATTATGGCCAGTCAGCTCAATTTTGGTTCCTGGAAAAGCACTGGAACAAATAATTAAGCTAACTAATCATCAGCACCTAGGAAACAACAAAGAGAAAAGGAACAGCCAGTGCTGATTTGCCAGGAGCAAATCATATCAAATTGACCTAATTTCATCGTGCAGCAGGGCTTGCAGATAGAGGCAAAGCAGAAGTCTTACATCTTGACTTTGGTTGGAGCTTTGGTACTGCCTCACCTCATGTTACAAGAAGGAAGCCAAGGAAACATGACCTTGACAGTCCCTCTGAGGGAAGGAGGCAAAGCTGGCAGGAAAACTGTACTCAGAAAGGTGTCATTGGCAAAATATAGGGAGGGATAGGTAGGGTTCAACAGGGCTCCAGCCTGCTCCCATTTCATTCACTGTTTTTTATTAACCACTGGATGATAGAATAACAAGCACCCTTATTAGGTATGCAGATGGCACCAAGCTGAGACGAGCTACAAGATGTGAGAGAACAGGATTAGAATTAAAAATCATCTTGATGTGACAGATGAAAGGTTTGAAAAAATAGGATGCAATTCAGTAAGGAGGGAAGCAAAGCTGTGCCTAGATGTAGGTACAATCAGCTGCAGTAGGACAAAACAAGAGGCAGCCTGTTGGGCAGATGTGGAGCAGTACAGCAACTCAGAAATCTGAAATGAACAACAACAACAGGCCATTTTGTCTTACACAGACATCACGATACCAGGGCTGAGAGGAGCTGAGTCTGTGAAGCACACAGCTGAACCCTTCATGTTACCCAGCACTGAAGCAATATTTATCTCAGGAGAATCCAGAAGAAAGTAGGATGAAACGTCTGGGAAACAGGACTTCTGAGGAAAGGCTTGTTCTAAGGAGGTTGTCTACCCCAGCAAGGAGCCTGGAGGAGAC